TGGTGCTGAAACTAGGTAGAACATCACAAATACCATCATAAAAGAAAAATTCAATGTCATAACCCTTACTGGTAAGTATATTTGTGGCTTAATCATAAATCATTTGTTTTCATTCATCTGTTGTGCCCTTCTACACTGATGTTGTCTGTTTTTGTAGGCTGGCAAAAATGTTGGCCAGTTATAAACAGAAGTTTCTAGAGAAATTTAATAGTCCTTGGAATGGCAGTAAGACTTGAGATTTCTTTTGTGAATCAACCCAACCAACTTTTATCTAAGTACCAGTTTTCCAAGTATTCTTCTCATCTGTCCCCATGTAGGTTTTGATTGTTTTCTCCTCTATGGCAATCAAGCCTATAATTTGTTAGATCATTTCACAAAAAAATGTTATATCTTAGTACCTGAGCTCCACAAGCAGAGAGAGCAAATAGTGCTGGATTTGAGAGGTGCGACTCAACTGTTTTTGGTTTTGCTCAGGATCAAACAATCAACGTAACAGCATAATCCACAAGGACACCTCTATTAACTTAAAAAATTCCATACTCATATTTTTCAGTTCATGAGATTTCCCTGTTTCTACAGACGTCCATAGACAATATGTGAATCAGCGGTCTCTCTGACTGTCCTCTCACCTATAGAAGTCAGATGTGCTTTTGCTGTGTCATTTTTCAGTGCGCATAATTTGAGGGTATTACTTTATATCTGCTTTCATTGTACTCTTTTATTTTCTGAGTCTCTTAAAAAGTTGCTTTCCTGTTGTGACTTGTGTCCTTTCTGTCAGTTCTTTTGTTGCTGTTGTATGTTTCTGTTCCCTATGATTTTCTTTGAGTAAATACTTTTTTTTATATCATCAAAACTACTAGCACGTTTTTGAAGAGCTGAATTTTGATCCAGTTCCACAACTGGCAATTCAAAACAAACATTATGAAATAAAATGAGTAAATGAAAACTACTGTAGCAACATGGGCTTTTGGTTGTTGTTTTTTTGTTTTGTTTTGTTTTTTTTGTTTTTTGTTATTGTACACAGGTTGCTCTGAAATCAATGCCTCCTTTTATTTCATGGAAACTACCACAGATACAAAAAGAACAATACTGCTTGATAGAGATTATCAGCTATAAAACAGTGTTTTTGAACACAGTCACCACCATCAGCTCTGCATTTTCACCATGAACAAGAGCCTGCATGCTGCACTCATAAAACCTGCATCAGTGGAGGTAACACAGTGAGAACCACCCACCACCTCTCTGTGCTCACATCCATTGTTTTGTTCTTCATAGACATTCAGCAGGTGTCAGTAAATGTCAGTGGGTGCTGCTTTTTCTGCATGAAGGAATTCAGGGACACACCTTTGCTTCACTCACACTTCCATGTCAGGCATCATTTTGTCACATTGTCATTCTGCTGCCATTTGTTGCACAGTAACCCACCCCTCCACCTCTGACACTGTGGGCCATATAATAAAATAGGAGAGATTATTTTTGTGGTGGCCCTCATAGAATATACATTATAACTAATATATATAAGTATCAAAACATTTTATTTTTTTTTAACTTTTTTTTGTTAAAACATAGAAAAGGAGAGCAACAAAAGGAAAAAACTAGTGAGATATTTGACCTTGTTTTTGTGAGACTAGTGATGGCAGTAGTTTCAATTCTTAATGAGATCTCAAGATGTTCATCAGAGATTTGTAATGAAATTTTATTTTTCCTTTGCTTCAACCTTGAAAACCAACTGTTCACAAATCTGTGTGCTGCTAAAAAGTGATGACATGAATAAGGTGTTATTGTTAAATGAGGGATATTTCTGGTAAGAGAAATATAAAAGTCTGGCGGAAAGATATGACCATTTTGACAGACTACCCCTGTGCTATCTGTGTCACAGCAACAAAACATAATGGATTACTGGCAGGAAGGTACAGCCTCTATTGCCATACCACCAACATCCACCTCTGATCTCATGGGCCAACATAACGGAAATGGACACATTATTTTTGGAGCAGCCCTCATTTAAATAATTTTTAATGGAAAAAAAAAAACCACATTTTTTCACTGAGGCATTTTTACTTGAACATTAACACACATAAGAATTTTGTTGTGTGAGTCAAGTAATCACAGAACCAAAAAACTGGGAGATATCATATAATGCATGTTTCCAACCTAGAACAGGATCAGCCCTACATTTTTCAAAACTTTATTGAGGCTTTATCAAGCCACTCACATTTTTGGCGGTGGAAATTGTGCAGTTTTCCTCCTCATTTCCATCTCAGTGGTTCACTATTGTTAGTATGAATTTGTTTTCTAGATTTTTCAATCACAGTCCTTGGCCAAATCATTACTCTGGTGTGAGCGCTAGAGTTCCCCTTCTAACACTGCTGCTTACTGTTATGGAAAAAAAAAACGAATGAGACATAATCTAAATTAAAAATAAATAAATAAATCTGGTACTTAACATTTCAAAACGTGAGGTTTTTTTTCTTTAAAACATGATTTTTTACTTGCTGGCTTTACTTAAAAGCATTATGAAAAAAAGCTGTCTTTATGGTGTGTCACAAATCTGGTTCCAGATTGGATATACAATTAATCATACAAGACAGACCACTGTCACAAGACTAAAAGGCTGATATCTGCACCAGTATGGTTTCAGAAAAAAAGTTAAGCTTTTATATTCTTATCTAAACCAAGTGATTTGAGGGGCACCCATCACTTGCTAGTAATCTAGGTTTCAACTTCAGAGACCTAAGTTTAAATCCTGATTTAGGTAAGGGCGAAAATTAGTTTGGTGGTTTGCATGCTAGTGGACTTCTGTCAACACTGAAAAAATACCCAACAGTACCACCCAATGAGATACTTTTGATTGAAAGAAAGCCTGGACTGGAAGACCAGAGGTCATTATGAACTGAGAAAGAAGTATCACGGCATAACTACATGAAGAATTTTGCACAGCACCTGAGAAAGAAGTCTAGCAACAATCAATAGAAATTATCTGCTACCTCAACAGGAATGTATTTATTGTTCGTCTAATCTCAAGTGTTTTTGATTCTATAACTTCACATATTGTTCCAAAAAATCTCATGAGAATCTAATAATGAGCAATGATGACAAGAGAAAATGATTGCAGGCAGTGTGCTTTAAATTGTTAGCAATATGTTTTACCATCACCCCACAGAATATAGCTATTAAGGAAATTATTTGTTGTAAAAAAATGTTTCTGTATGAATGTGTATGAATATTCATCAGTGCTTGCTGACTGTTTATGAAGACCAAACAGTGGATGTGACACAGTGAGGCCGTGGGTGGTGCATTTCAGCAGTGTCAACAGTAATGGTAGGTCGCCTCCACTGGTGCAGGTTTCTACAAGTACAGCATGTAGACTCCTGTTCATCACTGGTGAAAATGCAAAGCTAAAGGTTTTGACTGTATTGTAGCTAATAATTTTCTCTATCAAATAGTGTTATTGTGCTCATTAAATGTATTGTAGTTTCCATGAAAATAAATAGGAGGCATTATTTCTGGAGTAACCAACATAGTTTATTTTATTTAAAATAGTTTAGCAAAGATTTTTTCTTTGTTAAAGATAAGCAGCTTCTGCTTCCTGAGGCTTCTCTGTGTATCCTCAACAGCACCTTTGCACAAAGCACTTGGGAGATGCTGAATAGTATTAACAATGTCCTCCAACTACTTTCCATGTTTTAACCCAAAAACAGTGGTTTGTTTTACATACTGGAATGAATAGGGTGTTTCCACTTCCCTTATTCTTGGTTCTTGAAAGTTGAAACTTGTATGGGATATAGATACAGAGGAATAACCAACGGTGTGAGAAGATAGGAGTACTGGAAATGATGGTTACTGTAGTTGAGATTCACTCTGAAAAGTCACCTCTCATTCATGAGATAATGTGGTAAAGATCAAAGTTTCACTGACTAACTCTTTAAATTTTCTGCATAAACACCATGATGCATCAGGATATGTCTAAAACTAATTCTTTCTCCCCACAGCAGATATGTCCACAAAACCACTCATGTCTTTCAAACCCAACTACAGTGCTGTGAAACAGTGGGTGAGTCAGTGGCCTTGATTAAGATAAACTTCAATCAACCTTTAAATTTAGATGAGAAAAACAGATTTTATAAAATGCCAGTTCCAAAAGGGAAGCAGAGAGCTGAATGTGCCACCTTGGCTCCTTCTTAGAACTCTGCTATGATTTCACACTGATGTGACACATTTCTCTGACCTTCTCCTCCTTTCTCTAGCTGCTGGAAGTGCAGCTGGAAGTGCTTTATCCCTTTTAGCACTGATATTTGACTTTCTAAGAACTAGTAAAAGTGTCCCTCATCTGAGCTGAGTAGTTTTATACAAAAAATAATTCATCTAAATTAGTGCCTTGAAGTAATGAGACATACAAGTTTTGCTGTGGTCAGATTTAGTGGCAGCTAGGAAAAATGAGACTAGCAAATGATATTTGCAGCTGGATGCAATGGAGAGAAAATGATAAAATCATAGAATCATAAAAGCATCAGAATATCATATAAATGATGTTTTGCTACATAACAGGCTGGTTTTTTACATTTATGTTTTTGCTTTTTAATAAAGCACTTCTAACTACTGTTGATCTGAAAGAGAAAAGAAGTCTTTGCTGTTTTGCTGGTAGTTCCAGACTACATTGTCCTCTCATTTCACAGAAGCATGGTGAGGCTTCATGCTTGGGTATATCACATTACTGAAAACAGGAAGGTTACTCCTTGCAGATGAATCTTTGATCCTTTCTGGAAAAAAATATAGTGCTGGTTTTAGTAGAGTCATGGCTTTTTATGCCAACTCACTAAATGAAGATTCTCATCAGAGCTGCAGAATGCCAGGCATAAGTCCTCCTGCTATTCTCTCACTCCAAAAACTGGATAAAAGCCCAGTATTTCTGGGCTTTCATTGAAGTTCCCTCCTGGCCCTCTTCTTGAGTCCTGAAAATTTTTATTCTTTATAGTTAGTTCATTACTAGGCAAAAAAAAATGAGCTATCATGATTTAAATGAGGGGGTAGGATTTTCAGAAGGCCTCCCTAATGGCCTGATTGTAATACCACTTGGATTGAACTGGGATAGCTTCATTCACAACATTCACATGCTTTCAGAAATTCCATCTTCAGTCCAGGAGAAGATTTAGGGGGTATTGTTGTGGTACCTTTTTCAAAAGTAACAAAAAATCAAAAAAAATTTTAAAAAGCCATAAACAAAATCAAGCAAAAAAAATATTTAAATGTCACTTCAGCAAATTCAGCAAACAAGCAAACAGAGTCTGTAAAATAGAAAATACATTTTTTCTGGCTGCGTTTTTCAAAGTAGTTTCTAAATTTTAAGTATAAAATAGTAAGTGTTATATCGATTTCATTTTGCCTTAATCCTTGAGTGAATAATCCTGAAATACATTTTCAGCTAAATCCCCTGTGACCAGAAATATTCCTTTAAACTCTAGGGATTCTGCCAGCTATAGTGATATGTTTGTGCCAACCGGCCAGATGTATTTAAAAGAAAGAAAATTCTACAGTAAGTAAAATAAATTCAAAGCTCTTTACCATAAAGTTTAAAAAATAAAGCTAAAAGACAACACACATTTTATTCCCACAATAGCACAGAATAAATATGAACCAAATATATGTCAGATGGGATTAGAAGTGATGTTTATGCATTGCAGGATATTGCTTTAGCAAGGACCACTGTAATCACCTGGATTAATGGAGACAGTCAATTAGCAGTGATATTTCATGTTTGGTAGAGCCATCTCCTGTCCCGTGTAACACTGAATTCTTTTTGGTCAAGAAACTGAAATGTTTGCAATTTCCATTATTTGGTTGACTTACAAGAATCTCTTGTTTGTCTAAAAGTCTTTAAATAGCAGAAAAGGAGCATGGAGCTTGGCAGGATCTAATTCAGAATGCAGTGAAGCTGATGAGAGAGCATCCGGTGACCCAACCAGGCATGTAGGTACTACAATCTGCATAAACAACTGGCTCCTAATGCTGATTTATTAATAAAGATTTAGAAGTATTTGAAGTTGCATCCTCAAATGCATGGGGGAACTTTATTTTCTAATATTCTTCTCCCCAGTTCCTTCCACTCCTTTTCGGTACGCCTCTATTCCTTCCTCTCTCCACCTCTTTTTTTGCCCCATTTGCAGCCATTTAGCATTGCATCAGCAGAAAATCTCTGTAGTAGTGGCTTCCACAAAGCAGCAAGTAGATTTAAAATCAAGGAACAGTTTCAAAGATGGGTTTGCTGTGTTCATGAGACTATATCATAACTATAGTGAGGTTTTGGAATGCATTTACACACACCATAGGGGTAACCTCATCATTACCCACCCATGGCGACTCTGATCTCGAGTGATCTCACTCCATATCCTCAGCACAGTTCTGGCATATTCCCTCTGCGTGGAGGGGGAATAGAGAATGACCTTTCTTTGAAATCCTAGATGTATTTACACGAGAGCATGCCAAATGCATTAACAAGTGGTGGAGTGAAACCCCGAGTGAGTAAACATGGTCAACCCAAACACATGTAAATAAATCTAAAATTTCGGAGAATGTCATGCTTGCTTTGATTTACACCACAAAGTATAGGAGGAAATGTCGGCCCAGTGAAAATCTGCTTTATTTGTTCATTTTTAATTGCTATTTTGTCATGGCAGAGCCCATCAAGCTCTCAGGGAGATCTTTTATCTCTTCCTCGCAAAGTAGGCTTGGCTCTGTTGACAGTGCTGCTTTGTTGCAACTCACAGGTCCTCGCCCACAGCAGCATCTTCTGGTGGCAGCTATTTGGGATGATATACTCCTTGTATGAACTGCTGTAGGCTTATCTCTCATCTGCTGCTCTCTTGCTTAGAGAAAAGAAGGCTGCTACTAAGCTGGAAGCACATATTTGGCTGAGTGCTTCCCTGGTTTTGGACGAATGCTCCTACTTTTAGCAGCATGCCTAGACTTGGAGAAGTACGTTATGATGAGTGAACAGAAGGAACTTCCAAACTTTAAATCATATCCAAGGAACCTCCAGTAATAAGGGCTTCAGCTCATACCCACAAGTGGTCCTGCAGGAAAACTGGTCTTTGGCTTTTATTTCCTGAAAGGAAGGATTGTATGGCAGTGTTGGGGCTTCGGGGTCTGTATAATCAAGGCTCGGCATGATGAATTTGATGTACTGGCATCTGTTCTGTGTGCTTTGTAAAACTTCCAATAAAATATGAATAAAAAATAAATATACTTCATATGTCTATGTAGGACATACAGCAGTTAAATCTTTGGATATGGCATTTTTCAAGAGTTAAGAAAGATATGTTAGAACACACATAAGTGCCACAGTTCTTTCAAAAACAAAAGTCAGGGAAAGTCTAGGAAGGCAATCAAGGCAGAGCTGTTTTGTTGTTGTTTTTTTTTTTTTTTTCTCATTTTTTGGAGGTAAGGGATTGCTTCAAGCTTGAATGAACCTTCAAAAAATCTGAAGGTCCAGACAGCATCATGTTACTGTATATAATCCTTCAAAGGGGGCAAGGTGTGAAAACAAGCCAATAAATGTGTAAGGGGTGAAGGAAGATTTTTACAGACCAGAGTCAATGTTGCCAGCTTTTCCCCACCACAAAACCCCAACATCCCCCTCCAGGAACTCAACCCAGAATATTATTTTTGGATGACTGCCTCTGCAAATCAGGGCAGTGCAGATAAGGCCCCTCCTCCATGATCCTTCCCAACCTCTCCATGAATGCAGAAAAGACAAAAATAAAGGACAAGGCTGGAGTTTTGGTGGCTTTGTTCTGTGGTGGCTTTTCCAGCAATGGCAGTGTATGCCCTCCCTTCTTCTCGTGAAAATTAGAAGCGTGATCGGGGGAATCAAACATATTCTATCTTTTTTGTTCTTTCATTTAAAGGAGGGGGAAAAAAAAAAAAAAAAAAAAGAAGAAGAAGAAAAGAAAAGAACAGTAGATTTTTCATCCTCGTGCTTACTTTGTTAATGCCTTTAGCCAGAATCTTGAGAGCAGCACCAGGCCCAGCAGAAGCTCCATGCCAGGGTTGGCCCCTCTGCACATCAGTTCTGACAGAAGATGACAGGCTGAGTGGTGGGGAAAGGGCCACAGATCAGCGCCTTACCAGGAGCTGCTATTCAAGGCTTGCATCTAGTCTCACCCTTAGTCCTTGCCTATGCTGTGCCTGGCCACATGAGCATATATCCCAATCTGGACTTTAAAACAGGAATATCTCACAACTATGCCATTGGCTTATCTGTGCCTCCCTGCACCTCCAATTTAATATAACTGATATCACATTAAAAGGCACTTCTGCGAATGTCACTGCACTTAGAACCCTATCTGGAAACAGAGAGTGTTTTTGTGACCACGCAGAGGATAAACTTGTTTGAAATGTTTGGGTGTAAATCAATGGCCCTAGGTTTCTGTGTAAGAACTCTCCACATGTTATTTTTAAGTTTCTTAAAGAGTTAAAAGTCAGAACTGAAAAAGAGACTGCTCTTTCCCCTGGAGGTGGTCCAAGGGAATACTTGTGGAAGATACTTCACAAGCAATGGGTAACTTATGAATCCCCTGCCTCAAATTTATGAAATATGAATTGGGCAGAAGATGAAATGCTTTGTAACATGATGTTGTTTCCGTCATTCAAGCTGATCATGAGCTACCCACTGTTGAAACTGGCTGATTGCAAGAACAAAATAGTGCTCTTGGTCGGTACTTATTCCATGCATTGGCCTGACAGAAACACTTATCATCAACCTGTGTACCCCTTAGACAGCTTCATCTGGACATAGTGCCATTTGGTCTCTTCCAAACAGTGCATGTGTTTCTGTTCTTGCTGACTCTCCCAAGTCTGTGAAACAAGTTAGTTCATTCTACTGTTCTTCTGGCCCTGAAATGTCCTTTCCTGCACTGCAGGAAATGCCATAACTGTCATTACTCACTGTAACAACACCAACCTATGTTCCACAATTAGAAATAGCCTCCAGAGCACAAAGACTAATTGCTACTCCTACTTCCCAATCCTCTTCAGTGTATTGGTGGGCCAGAGCCAAAACCCTTCAAGGGAGAACAAAAATTTTATTTATCTTTCATCATAGGTAAGAGAAGGTGCAACTAATTTCTAAGAGTGCTGTACTGTCAGAGGAGGAAATTTTGTTCAGTTCAGATTCTGGCTGAAAAGGCAGTTTCTTCTGGGATTCACTCATGGGTACCCTTCCCTGGGAAACTCATCAGAGCCATCAGCCTGTGTGGATTGGTGTAGTGAAAGGGGTGGCTGAGACAAATTATTCTCAAAGGGACTCTGCTGGTGAAGAGCAGTACAACTTTACTGATCACAGTGCTGGCAGTGTAGTTTATGCTGGCTCTAAGACCTTTTATTGCTGCAAGCAGAAGCTTAATGATCAGACAGGTAAAAACTTTTGTGAGATGAAGAAATTCTTTGTGAAGGAGATAGGAAGCACCATGGAAAATGTTTCAGATGATTTTATAGTCAGGCAGACTCAACTAGTGGTATATGTTGTCAACTAGTGGTATATGTTGGAGTACTAGATTCTGAATTTCTGATCAGAGGCCTCTGGATATGGGACACAATACAAACACATTCCTTACCCTCTCCTTGCACTGGGACAGCTTTCCTCCCTGGAACCTTCTTTACAAGAGGGTATGGTAGTAATGACTCATGGCCTTGCTGGTCACAGCTAAGTATCACATATGTACGATCCTATGAAACCAAAACATACTCTCAAAGAGCTCTTGTACTCCAGGGCTTCCACTTCAGGAAGGATATTAGATTTCAAAGCATATTTAAATATTTACTATAACACTTCCAAGAGCAGGTTTTTTTAAAAGGTTATAGCAACATCTATTTGCCTTTGATAGGGAACATAAGCAAGAGGAATTGTCCCTAGACTGTTGAAGTCCTGAGTCTTGCAGAAATCATGAGCATTTTAAATTGTCTGAAGGATTTATATGTTTTAGTGCAAGAGATTTAAAAATAATTGTCTACAGAGTATCCAAAGATTAAATGAATAGGAGTCCACTGTAAAGACATGAAAATTATGCTTCTAAGTGCATTGCATTTGCTGAACATAATGGGGAAAAGAGTGACTCTTTCTTACAACACTGTGTTCATTACCAAGTAGTGCAAAGATACATTTTTCTGTTCATTCCACAGAATTACAAGGCAGAAGGCTGTGGAAAGATATCCATGATATCTCTCAGACCTACTTGGATCTTAAACAATTCTAAGTCTAGTAATAATATGATTGGATTAAAAAATTGAATTTCCAAGTATGAAATTAGAAAGATTGATCTTTTAAGTTGTTTATCTTTCATCATAGGTTTTTTGTTTTTTCTCTTCCCAGATATCCAGTTCAGAAACATATTTTTGTTTAAAAATTAGAAGTCCATATTCCTGTAAAAATTATCAACATCAAATACTGTAAGATAAACAAAGCAACTCAATAGAAATAAATTAATGCCAAAAACTTTACTTGTTTGACTGTCAGCTACATAGTCCATATTCACCTGAATATAGGAAAGCACTTTATAATAAATTATATTTATGATTTATTTTTAATATAAATTATTGCAGTATATTAATGTGACAGACATTATCTGATTTTAAGAGCTGCTGTAACAGTACTCACTCAAAAAAATGTTTAACTCAGTCTGTAAGTGACTTTATGTGCTGTCTGAAAGCTTAGCACAATGTTTGGAAAAGCTAGTACTAACGTTGCTTCTATACTTTTCCGTCTGTGTGTGCCTTTGAAACTCTAGCTTCTAGACAGAAGTAGATACAGCAGAAGGCCAGGAGAGTCTTTGGGGAATTGCAGAAGAACACAGCCAATGAGGCTTGACAAGTTGTGTCCAGCAGTGAAAGAGAAAGTAACTTGGGTAGCTTTTTTGAGGTTTCTACATCCCCTTTCAGTGTTTAGATTTGAATCTCCCTGAAACATCACTTTCTCAACCAGCCTACTTAACCCCAGAGGCCTAGATGACTCAACCATACCAAGGCACATGGGAGATATGTGGTCCTCCAATATAAATTCTGTTTCCCTGTCACTGAGGATGGATTGATCTTCATTTAGAGGACACTGTCCAACCTCTTGACATTTCTTGTCCCTTAAGAGTCCAGTGTTCTTTAGGGCATGAAATGGGAAAATCTCAGCTTTTATCTTACCTCGTCATCCCATACAGCCCACTCAGCCGACAGACAGACATGGATTCTGTCCTTCCCAGTGAACTTCCAGCCTCATACAGGGATTGTTTCAAGTACAGATAGCAAGAGTTGCTAATCCCTTTACCCTGGTGGATGTTTGTATGAGACAGTGCTGAGTGCATTACACAGTCCAAGAGCTCTGTTTTATCTTCCTCCCTGTTTTACTCTCACACAGGTATGCAGGAGAAATTAGTTCAGATTGATTGTCATCTGTCTAGCTGCAGAAGTGAATGAAATCTCACAAGTTTTCCAAGCTGTCATCTTTCAGTGGGGAAGGGAGAATGAGTTGTATGATCCTTGAGCTTTAAGAAAATGCCTGATCTGATAGCAAATGCTCAATGGTCAAACAATGATGCCTTGATGCAGAGAAGCAGAAAGGGCAAGAGGTGGAGAAATGTGAATTGTAGTCCCAGTTCTGACTCTAACTGCAGGTGCTCAGAGGAAGGATTAGGCCTTCACTTTGAACAAGAAAACCACAGCATGATAGCATCATTTAGATTCACAATTCCTAAAGCTGTCCCAGCTATTAAAAAACACATGGCTACCAGACCTCGTGATTTCTCTTAGTTTGTTCTTCAGAGAAGTGGAAAAAAAGACTTGAAGGTTTTGTTTATTTGTTTGACAGACTGTTTCAGTGAGCAGAGAAGAACGTTGAAGTTCAAACAATCCAAGGAGTTAAGCTAAATTTACCCAAATATTAATCTCCAAATGAAACTACAAAGCGGATGTTTTCATGCTGATATGTGTTAAAGTCAAGGCAGAGATAAAAGTGTGGAGAAGAACCATATTTCTTAGGCTTTAGATCTGTTAGATTTAGATTCTTCAGTTTTCAAGAGGCAATTTAGACCAAGCTTTTATTCTTAATTAAAGATCTCTTATGTGTTGGTGGATCTTACCTACCACATATACCAGTGTCATAGCTGAACAGT